AAAAAAAAAAAAAATCAAAAACAATAATGGAGGGAAAGGGAATTGATGAGCGTCAGATGAGGGGAACAGAGGACAAGGAGATGTCCTCACAACATGGATCTGGGTTCTATAAAAACTCAGGTGAACTCGTAACCGAATGTGGTGTTGAAGAGAGTGGCAATACTCTCGAATCCATGGGAAATGGGGGTTTTTAACCAGGGCGCGCACCCGCCCTTCAACTTCAACCCTCTACAGGAGGGTTGCCCCCAGGCTAACACTATTGATCAGCTTGCTAATCTGAATGATGGCGAGCTGCTTTCTCAGGTATTTGGGGAGCAACAAAGTGGGAGCAGCTTTGATCAAATAGCTGCAGAAGGGGTTGAATGGTGGAATAAACGAATGGAAAAGATGAGCCCAAAGGACTTCCAGCAATTTTATGCTGCATTGAGGATGCTCCGAGGAAGGGTCCAAACTCATCTGCAGCAACGGATCAGAATTAGGGACTCTAATTCTGGGGAAACAAGCACTTCTAGCTCTAGTGCCAATACTAATGGTAGAGCTAGGTGTAGGCGACGTTGATCATATTTTTCTTTGGGCATTTTAAATGAGATATTGTACTTTTCCTTCCTTAGTTATTAAAAGTTTATTATTATTTTTATTTATGATATAAAAAGAAAATATTTATTTTTTTTGAAAAAAAAAAGGGAAAATGGATTGCAAGCTTAAAAAAATCCTAAAAACTGACACAAAACTTAATTGGAGTTCATTGCAACCCCATCTCAAATCAAAATTGGGAAGACCATACTATTTGTTAGGTGAGTAGCTTAACTAGTGAAGGAAATCATCGATTAAATAAGAATTTTCTTTTTCAACAAGAATATAGTCAGTTCATGAAAAAAATATACTTCAAAAAATTAAATCATCTAAAGAATCTGACGGGTAATGGGGTGATGAGATCGTAGGTTTGGAGAAGGGTAGTGCGATCGTGAGTTTCCAACCTTGGCACCACATACGATAACGAGTTCACTGGATTTTTATGAACCCCACAACATAAAAACGTACGCATCGCAAACACAAGGTGCAAGAGCAGCAAATTTTGTAGTAGATGAAATGATTGTACAACTGTGCCAACCAACCCCGTTGGTATATACACATTCATTCTACAAGAGTTCTTATACACGTCTTATTTCTGAAACCCCGGATCTTGAATCAATGTGGGATCTAATGTTTGCAATGCTCACAACAAACTCTTCTCATTATCATCTCCCAAGCAAAGGTAGTGTAGGTTGTTGTGTTATTTGTTAAGGCACAAGTCACAACCCAAGTCTCATCACATTACCTATGAATGGGTACTTTGGTCCACTTATGTTTCTTTAGATAATTTTCTATGGCTTCATCAAAATATTGTCTTTGCGTTGTACCTCGACTCAAGTTTTCTTGGTTAAAGTCACTCTGAAATTTGTGGGCCTCTAGCTTACGAGGTTGGGTCGGGCTTGATTTGCCCCCACTCAGCGGAAAAGGCTTTGTATTATTGTGGATTTTAATCGCACAATTATTTATTACTTGAAGGCTTTTTGGTTTGGGCTTGATGTAAGTAATAGATTTTTAATTTTTTATTTTGAATCTTTAAAATATTTTTTTTATTTTTTATTTATCGTACTTACATGCTGAATAACTTAAATTCAATTCTCTTACTTTTATTAATAAAAATTACTCATATAACCATACTAGTTAAGTTCTCCTAATATTTATTTTTTTATTCATAAAACTTAAATTTGAAATTTTATTCATAAGGAATTAAATTTTTTTCACTCAAACCAATAAATCATTAGGTTTTTATTCTTTTTATTTCTCTGCATCATATTGGACGGATTTGGTGGATGGCATGCCTTTAGCTAGATTGGGAAAGAATTAGTCTCAAGATATACATAAGTTAATTTGAGGATACTTTAATTGTTAAACCAAAAAATTATTTATTTTGTGGCAAATATAATTAAATTAAAACAAAAATTATTACTTCATTTGTCTCATAATAATTATCATTTCTTGATTTTTTTTTCAAATTAAGAATTTGAAAACTATTAATATATTTATCTATATATTACCCTTAGGAAAAAGTTAAAAAGATAAAGTATGATTTTTTGTGATAAGATAATTAATAAAAATATATGTATAATGATAAGATTAAAATAAAAAAAATATTTGTCCATCTTATAAATGAAAAAAAAAATTAATTTAAAACAAATTTAAAGTTAAAAATAGACAATTATTTTGGATAGAAGGAGTAATGAATCCATTTGAAAAAATATTAACATGCAAGTCATGAAATACTACATCTGATCCATTAATCTTTAATTTTTTTTTTTAGAAATACATATCTTATGTATTAAACCAAAAGGGAAATGTGCCAATTGGGCTTAGTTTTTTTCAGCCTAGATTTTTTTTTTTTGGTCGCCAAATTCTACTTT